CTGGATTGTAGTCGCTACTGATTACATGACGCGCTACTGCGAAACGAAGGCATTACAACGTGGCACCGCCATTGACACTGCCCACTTTTTTATGAAAAACATCGTCCTCCGACATGGAGCACCAGCAGTTGTCATAACTGATCGTGGCACAGCTTTTACCGCCCGGATGATACAAGACGTCATGCAGCTTAGCGGCACAGTACATCAAAAAACTACTGCATACCACCCACAAAGCAACGGCCTTACAGAGCGACTAAACAAGACGATCGCCGACATGCTATCCATGTACGTTGACCAAGACCACAAAAACTGGGATGACATCCTCCCTTATGTCACGTTCGCTTACAACACCGCTGTGCAAGAAACAACTGGATTCACACCATTCCGGTTGCTTCATGGCAGGGAGGTCACTACAATGCTGGATGCCATGCTTCTACCAGACAGACACCAGATTAGTGTCAAGACGAACGAATTTATCAGACTGGCAGACGCGGCTCGTAAGCTTGCAGTCGAACGAATCCATAAGCAACAATGTATCGACTCGCTGCGGTACAACGCTCGTCGTCGCGATGTCTCTTACCAACCCGGAGAACGAGTATGGCTGTGGACTCCCAATCGACAACGGGGCCGGTCGGAACAGTTGTTACGCCGCTATTTTGGTCCCTATAGAGTTCTCCGTCGTCTCAGCGAAGTGAACTACGAGGTTCTTGACGAGGACATGGCTCGTCAATCCCGCCGTTTACAACAGCCACACGTCGTCCATGTTTCGAGGATGAAACCATTTTACCAACGCTGACTATTCGTCACACTCCCTTGAGTAGACTTACAGTGATTGTGAACACCCCCTTGTGTACTGCTTATCGTGTGTGTTTTCATCTGGCAATAATGTTATGACATCGGGACGATGTCCTTTGGGAAGGGGGGTAATGCCACTAGTACAAGTTCTGAAACTATTATTTCCACAGATGCTAGCATGCTTGTATGTGCCGCTGTTCAGAAGAGGACAAAGATGCGCGTGCAGAAAAAAACAATAGTCGTACTGCCGTTGTTCGAATCAGTTTGACGTCCTTGTGTGCCCTTATCAGCAGGTTACAGTTACGTTGTAACGTGACAATATATACTTCATCGACGCCCTGATTTCGCAGTGTCTGCATGACGGCTGATATTTTTTACTGAATCAAACGCCTTCTCGTAATCTATGAAGGCTATGTATAGTGGTTGGTTATATTCTGAGCATTTCTCTATTACCTGATTGATAGTATGAATGTGGTCGATTGTTGAGTAGCCTGTTCGAAATCCTGCTTGTTCCTTTGGTTGATTGAATTCTAAAGTTTTCTTAACTCTGTTAGCAATTACCTTTGTAAACAGCTTGTATACTATCGAGCGCAAGCTGATCGGCCTGTAATTCCTCATGTCCATGTCATCTCCTTTCTTGTGTATTAAGATGATGTTAGTGTTCTTTGAAGATTCTGGTGCTCTTCCCGTCAGGAGACACCTCGTAAACAGGTTGGCTAGTTTTTCTAACACAATCTGTCCTCCATCTTTCAGCAGATCTGATGTTACCTGATCCTCACCAGCAGCTTTGCCTTTTTGCATGCTCTCCAAAGCTTTTCTCACTTCTTCTATCATTACTGGTAGGGTGTCATCTGGGTTACTGCTAGTTCTTATAGTATTAAAGTCGTGGTTGTCCCGGCTACTGTACAGATCTCTGTAAAACTCCTCTGCTATTTTAACTATTCTATCCATATTGGTAGTTATTTTGCTTTCTTTGTCCCTTAGTGCATACATCCGATTTTTGCCTATCCCAAGTTTCCACTTTACTGCATTGACACTTCCTCCGTTTTTCAAAGCATGTTCAATTCTCTCCATGTTATACCTTCTTACATTGGATACCTTATGCCTATTAATCAACTTCGAAAGCTCTGCCAGCTCTATTTTGTCTGTTGTACTTGAGACTTTCATGATTTGACGCTTCTTAATGAGATTCTTCGTTTCCTGGGAAAGCTTGCCAGTGTCCTGTCTAACTACCCTGCCTCCAACTTCCACTGCACACTCCGTAATGATACTCGTCAGATTATCATTCATTGTATCTTTGCTAAGGTTGGTTTCTTCACTAAGAGTCGAGTACTTGTTCTGAAGCGAGACTCTGAATCCCTGTACTTTCCCTCTCAGTGCTAGCTCATTGATTGGCTTCTTGCGTATCAGTTTCTCTCATTGCTTCCTCAAGTCCAGGCGAATTCGAGACCGTACCATTCTATGGTCACTGCATCGTACCTTGCCAACCACTTCCACATCCGGCACGATGCCTGGGTGTGCACTCATTATGACGTCTATTTCGTTCTTATTTTCGCCGTTTGGGCTCCTTCATGTCCACTTGCGGTTTTCTTGTTTTCGGAAGAAGGTATTCAAAATCCGTAAATTATTGTGTTCTGCTAATTCTACTAGTAGCTCTCCTCTGGCGTTTCTAGTGCCGATGCCATAATCTCCTACTGCCTGTTCTCCAGCCTGCTTCTTCCCTACCTTTGCATTAAAGTCTCCCATCAGTATTGTATACTGTGTTTTTACCTTACTCATTGCCAATTCCACGTCTTCGTAGAAGCTTTCAACTGAAGCGTCATCATGGCTGGATGTAGGCGCATAAGCCTGTACCACTTTCATCTTGTATCTCTTATTCAGTTTAATTACGGTACCTACCACCCTTTCCATTAATGCTATAGTATTCCTCTATGTTGCCACATATGTTTCTGTGAATTAGGAACACCACTCCCAGTTCTCTTCTGTCAGCCAAGCCCCGATAGCAAAGTACGTGGCCATTCTGTAGCACCGTATAGGCCTCACCTGTCCTCCTAACCTCACTGACCCCTATTGTATCCCATTTAACACCCTCTAGCTCCTCGAATAGTACAGCTAGACTTCCCTCACTAGATAAGGTTCTAGCATTAAACATTGCCAAGTTCAGGTTCCAATGGCGGCCTGTCCGGATCCTGAGATTCTTAGCACCCTCTGCTGCGTTGCAGATCTGACCGCCGCCGTGGTTAGTTGCTTCGCAGCTGCTGGGGACTGAGGGCCGTGAGTTATTTGACGTATGCATGTGGGAGGTAGTGGCCAGATACGTCACCAGGGTGGCCAATCCTTCTCTGGTGAGGGAGTGCGTTCCCGCCGGTGATTACCGGTGAGGCCGCAGCCCAGGCCTCGTAATGCAGTTCCATCACCACGCAGATTTTCTTTATCCGGTTGGGAACTGCGTGGCACCAGGATTTGAACCATGGACCTTTTGCATGCGAGGCGGATGCTCTAACCACTACGCCATCGCTGCTATTATGTTGAAATGGAACAGGCTAAAATTTTTAATACGTGTATGGCCGCCTGCTGCAGTCACTAATAAGTTAATTATGGAATCTTATTCAACGGCACGGCTGACTGTGATACTTATTGTTGCACATTGTGTTTTCCTGAACACTTGGCTATCTGCAAAGGTGGCTTTTATATACATAACTTACAGCACTGACTTTTTTGAAGAAAAACAAGAGGCTTAATTTTGAAAACACTGAACATGTGAGCTACTTGAAGACAGCAACAGGGGGGGGGGGGCTTAGTGAAGTTTTCTTTCCATCGAAAACAGAAGCCATGTGCAGCTGTTGTACCTTCAGTAGCCAAGTTTTCCACGAGCCACCATTGATGACAGGCTTGTCCGGAATCCTTTCACACTCAGTTCATGCGAGGTGCATGCATAGGCTGCAATGGAAACATTGAAAAAACAATTTAGTGACTTGTGTCTCTTAGCAAAACTGAATTTGTCAGTCTATTTAAAATGATTTGCAGCAATGTGTTTTAAAACAAGCACGATGTACACAAACTAGAGATGTTACAAGCAAAACTTTCCTAATTTACTTGGCGAATGCAGTTGCAACCTTAAAAAAAAAAAAACGCAATTTCCACATTGCAGATGTGTTTAAACTATGCTTGAAGTACGCTCATGCATAGTGCACTAACAGCAAATTCAATCATACCACAACACATACATGATGGTATGCACTTTCATCAAGTATTCGTTGCAGGTAACCTATATTATTAAATATGAGTTTGGTTTTAAATACAACTAATGTAGCTTTCTTCAGGCTGCTCACACTAGGATGATTATACTTACGTCAGAAATTGATGTCACTAAATTACTATAATGTGCTGCCAAATTATGGTCATCAGTTTCAATGATTCTGGTTGTCTAAAAAGGCAGTACCCCTTACTTCAGCATGACAGGCTGTCTGATGAGAAAAAAAAAAAAGAACGATACCTCAAGCGGCACCAAACGGCTAACCTCATCCGCAGCGCCCACCAATATTGCTCAAAATTAAGCGTTCATAGTTGTGCGATTGTCAATTAAAAAAGCAAATATTGCGCATATCTGAGGTGCCATAACAACATGTCTATGTTTTGTATGTCTGCCTTTATACTAGAAGAGGCACACACAAGTAACTCTAAGGACTGTAGCGTTCAACGTGCTGCGCTGACAGTGCAACGCGATGCTCAAGAAGATGTTTCCAAGGCTTTGCTACGACGGCATGGTGGTGGCACCTGCCCGTTGATTTGCATTCTATACCTTATCACCTCCGTGACTGGCGCGCATCTTTCTCCACGGTCGCGCATGCCTTCGTTTTCGAAGATAACTGCCAGATAGCGCTTGTGCCCAACGTAACTAGATGTGCTTGTTTGCGTCCGTTACACGCTCGAGGCACTCCTAACGCAGCGCCTTCAGAATACCATTCACCGATTTTTTTGTGCTGGACATCAAATAAACGTTTTGTTCACTCTCTCCTGACTCAAGACTATCGTCTTTCGACGACATTTACAGTGTAACATGTAGATTCGGGCCAATTTTTCTTTATGCCTTTTGTCACTAAGTGTGTGTGCCTCGTGATACTAGTGTCCTCTTTGTTTAGAAGAGCATAATGTGCTCTCAAACGCTCGAATAGTTTGTGGCTTTCTTTTCTTTCTTGACATAGGTGCTTTTCATAATCCTGGTGGGCGAAGATGCTGAGCCAGAAGGGCCCCGCGTGCAGCGCTGCCGAGCAGTCTGCTTACCTTCTCAGCTGGTTTGGAGAGTACAGTGACCTGCAGCGCGACGACTTCCTGCACGTACTGGCTGAGAAGTACACTCCCTTCGGACTTGCCGGCGACGGCACCCTGGGGCTGTCGCACCTCACCATCGGGAACCCCGATGCACCACCCTCGCTTTTCCAGTGCCGCATGAGCCTCTTCGACCAGTGGTTTCAGGTAAGCGTGAATGCTCGTGTCAAGAATATATGTCCACCTAAAAAAACGAACACAAAAGTAGAGAGAAAGACAGGAAAGACAGGACAGTTGCATTGATACTCGGCATGGGTGATTGCCTTCTCCACGTTTGTGTGTAACTTGTGAATGGACATCGCCACTGTACAATAAAGAGCCAGCATTCTAGAATCGAGGATCACTTTAATTCACGATGCAACATGACGCTCTTGCGATTCCTTGAATGCCAACACGATAAGGCACAAACGCATACAGTATAACCTCATTGCAACAGGCCTCTATGGAGAAGAGGACTGTGGTCTGTTTAAATAGGAGTATGTAAAATCCAAGTACTGGTACACCAGACTTTCATGTAAATGCTTAATGAGTTTGGAATAAACAGAAAGAAATTCAAGTCTTAAAAGGATTTACAGTGGACCCTCGATTATACGCCTTTCAGGGGACCACGCAAAACCGTCCTATAATTTGGGCTACACATAATCGAAAAAATAAGAATATAGGCACTGACTTTCATTGCTGCCCCACAACAGTCGGTACATAAGGCCTGAGCAAGTCTGCAATGCAATACTGTGCTACTCCGAGTAATGTGAAAAAATGACAAGCACACATTTTATTGGAGGCGTGAACGAACCTTTATTCTCACCTCTTAAATCTGCAATTTTTTTCTGCAAGTTGGCCCGGCCACGACACGTAAGCTTCCTTTCGAGAGCTGCGACATCTTGCTGTGAGTCGCCGATCTCGTCGTGTGCGCATGCACACTGCCGAATATTGTCGTTGTAATGCAACACGTTCGTGTAAGCCGGTACAGAAGTGCTTGAATTTGCAGTATCATCCATCTTTTCTTTGTTGGTAGCTTCCGCAGAGTCAGGACGCACAATTTGAATAATGTCATCCTACACTGTACTGCACACAGTGACATCGTCGTCGGCACCAACATAGTCCGCGAATTATCTAAGCAGGTCCAGGTGCCTGACCTCAGGTTTGTCGTCATCAAACATTGCAGCTTCACTGGAACAGGCGCCACTTCTCTTAAAACCGCAGTGCCTGAAAGAGTTGGCGATTCTTTCTTGCATGACTGCGTCCCGTGCGCTAGCGATGTAGTGCATTGCTTGCATAAAGCACTGAGAGCTGCTTGGCCATCTTGTCAAGCAGAAGAAAAGTCTTTGTTTTAGTCCCCATTCTCTAGACCAGCTGCTGCAGGTATGCAGCCATTTGGCAGCAGTCATCCAGGTCTTGCAGTAAATGTGTACTGGCACAGCAGCCTTTTCGAATTCTTGAAGCATCACAGCTTCTCAAACTTGTCGATCACGAGAGCAGGAAGCTTCTTTGAGCAGTCTTCATTAGCACAAAGCAACACAGTAAGACACTCTTTCCTCCGCTTACCACCGTGACAACTCTCTCCTTTGAACGTCACTGTCTGGTCTGGCTGCATATTGTAAAATAATCTAGTTTCGTCTGCGTTGAATACGTCGCAGGGCTTGTAGTGCCGTAGCAGTTCCGGCAGCCATGCGGTCCATTGTTGAGCAGTGGAGGAGCGGACAGACGAGCTCTCTCTGCAGCAGCTGCTGTAGACAACTCCATTTCGTGTTTTAAAGTGATCTAACCAGCCATTGGAGGCTTAAAAGTCGTCAGTATTGCAGCACATCACAATAATGTCCGCCTTCTCCTTCAAAATCGCGCCATCCACAGCAATAGCTGCACTGTGTGCCTGACGCAACCACTCTACGAGGGCCTTCTCTATGGCAGCGTATCATATTTATCCGAATATACGTCGACCTTTTTTTCCGAAAATGCTGTTCATAACCAGCTGTAAACCTATATTCGTGACTAAAGAATCTCGACCTATATTCGCGATCAAAGTGACCAAAAGCAGCGAGCTAGTAACAGCATTCAACTGCCGCTGTTTTTAAGGGGGGACGTGGGTTCTAAAATTTTTTTTAATTTCTTGCTCAATCTTAACCAAACTTCACTACCTAAGCTAGTTTTTCATGCTGAGTTCAAATCACTAATTTGTTTCTTAATACTTCAAGTGGTTTAGAAAATATGAAGGTCTGAAGGTTAATTAATTGCGTACTTCTTATGGGATTTCTTGGCAATTTATTCTTGCTAAATCCAAAAAGTAAATGCATAATCCCAATGCTGGAGGCTTGCTGTAGGGGGTGATGCTATTTTTATCCATTTGAAGGCATTTTATAAGCAATAATACGAACGAACACTTACGGTCACTATATTACAATAAATTTATCTCGCTAAAATCTTCAATGGTAATTTTTGAAGTGATGCTAGAGAAATAGAAATAGCATCACCCCCTAGATCATGTCAAGACGAATAAAATGATACCAACTTTGTCGCATTCACTCAAGTTTAACATAGGAAAAACCCCCATAAGGCCGAGTGCAATGTGCAAAAACATCAAACTGAGAAAAACGCGTTTGAAGTTTCTAGCAACTTTAACTTTTGCTAAAGTGAAGCTAGAGCGATAATAATGACATCATTCTGTAGCTTTATATTATAGGATAAATGGCCATGCTAAATTTCACTGTACCCACCCAGAATACTGCTCACAGCTTGTTCTAGACTTATAAAATAGTCAATAATTCAGCATGAGAATTATTATTTTTTTACTTTGTGGTCGTTCTAGTGCCTTGCAAGTGAAAGGAACACAAAAAAATCATGGAATAATGTTGTCCTTGGATAGACAATAGATTTACACAATGTTTAGGTCTAAAACCAAGAATATTTATTTTTGCAAAAATTCTCACTATTTGCCATCATGACTGTTTACAGCAGACGAGGGCTGTAAGCAGAGTCCCCTGCTGGCTTGTGACGCTTTGAAAGTCTTTCCTTTATTGAACTGCTGTCGAGATGCTCTCTTCGTGATTTTTGCAGCCTGCCCTTGTTCTTCTCAAGGCTGCGACACACCAAGTTATTGCCAGCGCTGTAGCCCAGCTTCTCGGCAATTTCCACGTTGCTCTTGGTTGTGCCTTAGTTGAAGAGGCTGATGGCTTCGGCAACTGCCTTTTCAATGCTCCGCAAGGATGCATGCTGAGTTTTGTGGGCGTGCTGCCAAATCATAGTGTGCAGGCTCTCACTTGGGTTCTGGGTGATCCCATCGCTGCACCTTTCCAAGAGGGCATTGTCGCTCAGCCGCCTAAACACAGGCTCCAATGCCTCAGTTACGAAATCAGGCAGGCTGTCCTTGTGTGGTGGCGGCTTCTCATTTTTCGCAAGAGCTCTCTGAAATTTGCACCAGGATTCAGGGCCTTCAGGGCAAAGGCCATGCTTTGGTGCCTCGTCAGTTGAACACATGTGGTTCAAAGTTGCTAGAACAGCCTTCTGCATACCTGGAACATCTTCCTGTGGCTTCTCAATGCGTAGCCATAGTATGAGGGGATCTTCTTTATCTTTTGTTGTGTAAGTCTGTCCTTTCCACCAAGTGAGCCACCTTGAGCTTTTTTTCTCTACAAGGGTACCTAAGGCAGCTCCCATACGCTTTTGTACATGATTTATGCAGTCCTTTTTGGCCATCTTTATAAAGCCGTACATCTCTTTTTCTGCGAGTGCATGGAATGTCCTGCTGTCACCGTCCGACAGAATTGTCGTATAACGAAGCTTGTGCTTTTCAAGTGACTGCTCAAACAAGCATAGTGCTGCCTCCACTTCCATCTGGCCAGCATTACAATCAACATTCTTCTGCCACAGAGGGGCATGCTGAATGAGCCAAGCAGAATGCCCTGCTTCTCCTTCCTTGGGTCCTGTGGTGCAAGCCAGGCAAAAGTTCGATAGCACGATATGGTCTATCACGAGGCCACTATACATCTCAACAATGCAGCCAACACATATATGCGAGCTATGTCCAAGCGTAAGCCAGGTGCCGTGATAAATGACGTCGACGTTTCTGGGCGCGTTGCCGAACTCCGCATAGAGCTCCTTGACGCGAGCAACGCTCGCCGCTTCGCATTCGGCAGCAGTCGCACAGCAGGCTTCTTTCATTATATTCATGTGGCTTTGGTAACTCTTGTGGTGAAGCCCTCGATGCGAAATATTCATCCCGGCAAAGAAGTCCGACAGAGCCGTTGCTCCCTTGCCAATACTGTTGATGGCCTTCAAGGCACGCATATTAACTTCAAACGGCCTTAGCTTGGCGTTGGTCTCGTCGGCTATACGTGGGGACGAAAAACGCTCTTCGCGAAAGTCACAACTGCCGCACGTGACTATAAGCTTCGAGCACAGCCCGTACTCTTTCTTGGCCTTTGAAATAGCGACGCTTCTTTCACCGCATTCTGGGCACGCCACAAGTCCAAATAACAGCGTATCGCCGCCAGATCAACAATAACAAAATCTGTCCCGTTTTCTTTGCCAGCTTCCTCCAGATCAATATCTAGTAATTCAAACTTACGTTCCGTCGCGCACTGCGATGCTAGCGATGCCTTCAAGCCCACTGCATTTCTCGCGCACTCAGCAATTTCGTCCGCCGAATAAAACGCCGTGTCAATGCGGTCTAGGATGCTGCTGGAAGTGCAAGATGACGATCCGACGACGACACAATCCGATGAGGTACTGTGCTGCAAGGCACAAGAGAGTGCACCGCTTCGGACACAAGCGGCCGCGGCTGCGCGCTGTCGTCGGAATGCGCTGCTTCGGCGGCATCGGGCAAAATCGGCTGCACGTTGTCGGCTGCTTTCATCTGGCGGGCGTTCCATGGGCGCCTCCGTTTCTTGCCGCATGCTTGGCGCTACTTCTTCTTTAGACGAGCGTCTCCAATCATGCCGGCAAAAGACGGAAAGTCGGTGCGTCGGTCGCGTAGCACAAGCAGGCACGTGCGGGGAGCAGACGAACAACGTGCGCGAATGGGAACCGGCGGCCGACTAACAATATACAAAAAAAAGTGCGGGCAACTTTGGCCGCATCAGCCAATGGGAAGCGAGGAACAGGGGGCTCGCCTGGTGCGCGGGCGCTCCGGCCAATCAGCGGCCCGGAAGGGG